ACTGTCCAGAGTGACGGAGGATTTCATGACGTGATGCCTGTCAAGCACTTAGCACACAGTTCTGGAACAACGGAAGCACCCAGAAAGCTTAGTTGATGATTAGCAGCGACCACTGCTGCCGAAAGGTGTGTTTGAAATACATGTAAGGGCTGCTGCCAGGAGACCAGTCTGCAGACTGAGGGGCATAGAGCAGAACGTAGTTGTTTGTAAACATCCTAAACAGAAGCACATGGCTTACTCACGGAGGTGTTTTGGAACTGTGATGTAAGCTCCCTGAATGAGGAGGGAGTCGTGGGAATCTGGCCCTTGTTCTCACTTCTGGCAGGACCCTACCTACAAAGTAAGTCCCCCATGGCCGCCCGCACCCAGAGACTAGGAAAAAGAGCTTCCCTCTCTGCTCTGGGAACCTGCTCCGTTAGTGTTAAGACCCGCCTCCTTGGCTAATAAATCAGCCCTGTGTGGCAGGGGCGCGGGCGGTGGTCCCGGCTGGCCCACGGAGCTCTAACCCACCTGCGGGCTGCAGGTGGGAAGGGCAGGAGAGGCGTGGCTTCTCGGACTCACTGCACTGCCCTGCTGCGTGGCCTCGGTCAAGTTCCTGCCTCTTTCTGAGCTGTTGGCCCTCATTTATGAATAATTGAGAGGGCAGGGGTTGCAGAAAAATCACTTGATTTTCAAGCCTTAAAAATTTGAGGGGCGCCTGGGTGGCTTAGTCAGTTAAGCGTCTGACTTTGGCTCAGGTCATGATCTCGCTGTTTGTGAGTTTGAGCCCCACATAAGGCTCTCTGCTGTCAGCATGGAACCCACTTTGGATCCTCTGTACCCACCCCCACCCCCGCCCTTCCCCTGCTCATTCTCTCTCTCTCCCTCTCTCTCAAAAATAAACATTAAAGATGGGGCGCCTGGGTGGCTTAGTCGGTTAAGCATCCGACTTTCGCTTAGGTCATGATCTCGCTCGCGGTTCGTGGGTTCGAGCCCCGCGTCGGGCTCTGTGCTGACTGCCAGCTCAGAGCCTGGAGCCTATTTCAGAGTCTGTGTCTCCCTCTCTCTCTGACCCTCCCCTGCTCACGCTGTCTCTCTCTCTCCTAGAAATAAATTTAAAAATATTTCAAAAAAAAACATTAAAGAAATACTAAAAAATAAAAATGAAGCCAATACAGGGAAAAATAGAGCCAAAGAGATGAAGAGAGGCAAACTCCTGAAGACTTCATTGAGGGCCTAGATCCAGCCATGCCTGACGCTAATACAACTCTTGCTTCTCAGTTAAAGAATCCAGTACACCTTTACTCTGGCTCAAGTCCATTTCAGATAGGAGCTTGTCATTTTGCAACTGAAACCTCATGACCGACTGAGACACACAGGCAAGTTATTTATCCCCAGAAGTTTCGGTTTTCTTACCTCCTCAGTGTCTCTAAGAAGCTGTAAGCCTCACCTTTAAGGCGGTCTGTAAACACATACATCACGGCGGCAGCAGGACATTAGCAACAGTGGACGATCTTGGATATGTCTCAGTTCTAAGGAAAGCAAAGCAAAGATTGGTTAATATCAGTCCACTTCATTCCCTTAATGAGGGTGGGAGCGGGGGAGCAACAGACAAATAAATGTCCATTATCAATGGGAGTGAAGAAGGCCACATATTACCAGGAAAGTGCCAATGGAGAGTGCATGGGGCTCTGATTTTGGCTTTTTCAGCTGGATGGGGGTGGTGGGCAGGGGGCTAAGGTTCCCACAATTCGGGAGGCCTGGCTGAGCCTGAGGGCAAGCCTCAGTTAGATAAGCCCCCAGGCTCTTGAGGCTAATGAAACTCTAGGGGAATAGTTACGATGAATTTGTTTTAGAGCGGGAGGTTCAGGTTCAGTGGCCCGAGCTCTGCAGCTGTGGGGGAGCTCCTGACAATCCACTGCAGTTCATAACGGTGTCACGCATGTGGCCAAATATTCCCTGGACGGACAGACTGGCCTTTTGCGGCTCCAGAGAGCTATTCCCGGGGAATGCCATCTCAGAACACCATTGTGGTCGGCTGAAGAACCCTCGAAATTGAAAGCCCCAAGCCCCCCCCACCCCTCGCCCCCCGTCACAGCCATGGCACATAAATACCACCAGGGGGGAATTCCCACGGAATTTTTTGCAACCACTCGAATGTTTCATTTCCCATTGTTTGCCAGCCCCTCTTGGAGCCTCAACTGTCAGAACAGCAGCAAACACAGGCTGCTTTTCCCCCAGGATCCCACAACACTTGCTCTTGCTTCCCCTCCGTGTTAGGAAGCTGGCATTGGTCGGATATGAATCGGCTCGGCCAGGGAATAAGGTCTGTTAGTCAACTAGTGAAGCAAGTCAGCAGAGGGAATACCCAGCTCTCCCCAACCCACCCTGCTGGGGCGGCAGAGCTCTGTGCTATCGCCCCTGCTTATTACTAGAATCATGGCAACTAATAATTATATTTATAGAAAGAAATCCCTTCTACAAATCCAAAGCACTTGGCTGAAATCTGTGGTGCAGCTGTTAATTTTTTTTGCTTTTTAAATATGAACCTGAATTATTTCTTCCCCCCAACTCGGTGTGGTTTAACAGAATTCTAAGTCGTATTCCAAACATCAGTGTATTTACTGATTGACTGAAAAGCATCTGTTTTAGGCAGACCTTGCTAGGCATTTGGGGGACTCAAATACGAATGAGGTATATAGTTGCCTGTCTGTAAGGAGCCCATAGTTTAGGGAGGGCATGGAGATTTCAAGGCAACATGGGATACAAGGATGGTGGGAAGTTTGTCCAGGGGGTGTTGGTGTGAGGGGTGAGTAAGAGTAGCCAGAAGGACGCACACGTGATCTGTCACCAGTTGGCATCGTCCGAATACGTGTAGTATGTATCATGTTGGGCACCCACACAAGGCTGGGCATGTGTAGAATAGCCTGATTAGTGAGATCAGGAGTGAGAACCATTCCTTCACCAGGGCCCACCCCCTTCACAACAGGGATGGATTTCCTTCTTTCCCCGTGGTGAATTTATTTAAGTAGCCATTCATCCATCCATCCATCCATCCATCCATCCATCCATCCATCCATTAACATCACGGACATTTATTGATTCCTTTAGGACATGCCAAATAGAGACTCTATACTGGGGACAGCCATTAAATGACTACATAAAATAAAGAGAACTACATGAGCCATTGAATACACCTGCGAGACTTTGCCTGCCCCTCATGACTGATCTCCTACTTTATGCGGAGTGCTGTGGGGGCTACACATTTGGGTCAACCCTTTATGCAGCAAAACCTCTAAGACCAACCAGGACTCCCAATGGGAAGAAGTGACCAGCGCCCGCTCCAGTTTGTGCAACACTGTCTACACTCACGGACACTCTGGATCCCTGCCAGCAAGACTGGGGCAGGCAGTTGAGGAGTCGCTCTTCACTTTGCAAGGCGGGGCATGCAAGGCTCGGAGAGGTGAAGAGACCAGCCTGCCCGAGGTCACACAGCTGGCCGGGCTGAGATTGCCGTGCATACTTTTACAATGATAGCAACGGGAGTAGAGCAAAATGGTCATTTTATTTTCCCCAAACCACACTATATGTCCCCTGCAGAGGAAACAAAATGCAAAACTCCACCCGGAAGGGAAACTAATGATCTCAGAAAGGAGAGGACTGGGAGATTTTAACACAGCACATGAATTTCAACACATCTCTCTTCTAATGGGACCTCTCCTCCCTGCCTCCGGATGGGTGGGTCTTAGGCTGGACATAGCAGGGTCTGAAGTCACCAGCACCAACATTTATCCACACCTCTGATATCTCAGACATCACAATATTTCTGCCAGGAGGGTATTAAAACTCCCATTTTCCAGATAAGGAGGTTGAATCCCTGGCCACGCACAACTTAGGTAGTAGTGGACCCGGAATTCCAACCCTAGTCCATCCGATCTGAGCCCCTGAGCCCAGGAACCTGTGGAGCTTTTTATGCTCCCCCCAGGGGGCCCAGGGGCCCCAGCAGCGGGTGCTGGGGGAGCGGCCTGGGGAGGCAGAGCCCAGGGCAGCGGCTGAGGCTGCAGTGTCCCCGGAGTCAGGCCCAGCCCGCCCACTTTTTAACATGGTGGCATCCCTGACAGACACCCTTGTCCTTTTCCTGTGCTGGCCATCGTAGCACAATAAATAAAGCCTTAGAGTAACGTGACCTGAGCCAGGCAGTAAATGATGGCACTGTCAGTTGTACGCGACTGTTGAAACAAACACAGACTGTAATCATCGCGCTGTACGGGGAGAAAGACATTTGGCAAATGAGATTCCATTTTCACATTGGTTTGTGCTGAGCATATAAATTTCCTGCGGGCCGGCCAGCGTTGGGGATGTGTAATTGATTGCCTGCATTATAATAAACAAGCCGTGACAGGTGATCATTCATCATATTCCGCTGAACGTTCCAGCACACCAGAAAACGGAGGAAGAGAGGGAACGCACAAGCGAGGGGAGAGGAGAGGAGGAGTCTGGGGGAGGGGTGGGGGTCGGAAAGACCGAGTATTCCCGACAGACAGAAAGCCAGGGAAGGGGCGGGGGAGAGCATCCGCAGAGCCGGCTGGGCTCGGGGGAAGTGAAGGCAATTACTATAATTCTTTTGATTTTCTAATTTGTTCTTTCTGGTCTTCGTCGTCGTAGGACCCTCCACCCCCCACTCCAACATAGGAGGTGCCCCTCGGGGACTTGGGAAGACACAGAGAATGCTCCTCCCAAGATCGAGGGGAGGAGGGGAAAGGCGAGGTGGGGGAGGGGCCGAGTCTAGTTGTAACCGGAGTAGATACATTCGGGAAAACCTCGGGAGGAGGGGTGTGTGTGTGTGTGTGTGTGTGCGCGCGCGCGCGTGCGCGCGCGCGCGTGTGAGTACGCGCGCACCAGTGTGTGCCGGACCCAGCTTCGCTTCTGCACTGCGATGCCTCCAATCAGATGGCTAGGAACCAGTCTCTTTAAATAAAAAATTTTAGAGGGTGTTTGAAACACACACACACACACACACACACAAGCGAAAAGTTCCTTTTATTGGAGAGAAGGACAGAATCCAAGTTGGCATGGGATCTGTTTCCAGAAGCCTGTCATATGGCATGCTCTCTCTCCTGCTCGTCCTCAGCCTCTCTCCGTGCCCTTGGCCCGGGGTTGGGGGTCGAACGGGAGCCGTTGGGAAGCACCCTCCTCTCCAGGCGCGTCGACCTAGACAGACACGAGGCGGAAGCACACTGGCATGTGAAGGACAGAAAGACAAATGAAGAACTCTGGAGCCAGGGCTTGCATTAAATAAGTACTTACATTATGCAAAGGCCCAGGCCCTCAACTAGGGGGTGAGTGACGAGCGGGGACCGGGTGGGAGGGATTAGTCTCCCCAGTTCTCACCCTGTCAATTTCCAGCCCTCCCATCCCCGCCCATCGAATGCGCTCTCATTCCCACCTGGGTACCATATGCTTCGCGCAGGTGGGAGCCTTCAACCTAGGGAGAGGGAGTTGAGGGGGCGTAGCCCGCGCTAACATCGGGGGCGGGGTCCGGGTGGGGCTTAATTGGGGGCGGGGCTGCCCCGCAGGGGGCGGGTCAAGGGCAGAAGAAAGCCAGTGACGCGCGAGGGGGGGGAGGGGGGAGGACTTTGCTTGTCATCTCCCACTGCTTCCTGGAGTCCTCTGCCTTTTTATCATAGCCCTAACAACTGTAATCTATTACCTTTGAGATGATAAAATCACCGCTTTGGGAGACTCTCTTCGAGGGACCTGCCTCCCCAAACTGTGACCTCAGCCCCAGCAGCGTGGGCTGCTTCCCTAGTGATCTGTGTTCTTTGAAAGGTTAGCAGTTCATGCGGGTCTCCCAAGAATTCCAGGAGATAGTCAGGGCAGGTGCTGTATATGTTATCCCTTCCCGTCTCCACGCGGCTTTTCGGGTCCTGATTTTACAGGGGGAAAAACCGAGGCACAAAGAAATGAAGTTGTTTGCTCCAGGTCTGGCAGCAAAAAGCATTAACAAAATGGAATCCAAGGATCTTCTTCCAACATCTCTGCGAGGGCACACACCTTCTTCCTCCAAGCCCCATAAATAAGTGCGCAAATGTATATGAGGGGGCAGAGTGGGTCTATTTGGAGTAATGTGTCCAAACCCTCAATAATGCTCTTGCTTTTTTACCGGCTGTATATCGCACAGATCTACCCACTCTTCTCCACCAGCACTGTGCCCCCTTGGTCCAAGCCTTCTCTCTCCAGGACCACTTCTCCCCACTCCTCACTGGGCCCCCAACATTGTTGCCTACTTCCATCCCTTCCCCACCTGCTGCTAGGATGTTCTCAGTATGAAAACATTATCCAGCTCCCTCACCAGCTGGCTGGTCCTCCCTCCCTAGCTCCATATTATTATCATTATTATTAAATACACATAACATAAAATTTACCTCTTAACCATTTTGGAGTGTGTAACTCAGATTAAATAGATTCATATTATTATACATCCATCAGAACTAGCTACTCCAGAACATTTTCATCACGCCAAACCAAAACCCCTTACCCATTAGGAGTCACTCTCCATTCTGCCTCCCCTCCCCGCCCACCCCTGCACCCCATTCTGCCCTGTCCCTGGCAGCCACCAATCCGCTTTCTGTCTCCATGGATTTACCTATCCCGGACATTTCATATCACTAGAACCTACCGTCAGTGGCCTTTTATGACTGTCTTTCCCTCAGCAGCGTGTTCTCAGTGTTCGTCCACGTGGCAGTATGTCAGTATTTCAGCTTTGTGTGTGTGGTTGAATACTCTTCCACTGTATGGATATATCTCCTTTTGTTTATCCGCTGATGAACATTAGGGCCATTTCTAACTCTTGGCTCTTACGAATGGTGCCTCTCTGAAATTTGTGTACAAGTTTTTGTTTGAACATCTGCTTCCAATTTCAGGGGGTGTACGCTTTGGAATGGAAACGCCGGGTCGTACGGTAATTCTATGTTTAACCTGCCGAGTAAATGCCAGACTGCTTTCCATTTTACATGCAGCCGCACCATCTTACATTTCCACTAGCAGAGCCCTGGAGTTCCGGTTTTTCCAATTCCTCACCAGCTTTTGCTATTTCCCCTTTTTTTTTCTTCCAGCCACCCCATCGGGTATGTCTCCCTCCATCTTTCAGGTCTCTCCCCGCACTGTTCCGCTCTGGCCCATCATACCCTCAAAGATGCCGCTCTTTCTTAAGAGGGGCCTTTGCGTATGCTGTGACTTCTGCCTTCCCTCATCTCCAAGACTAGATCCGACTCCCCTCTGAGGATGCGGCTCGGACCCCTAGCCTTGCATCCCTTGTCCCCCACTGGGTTGTAATTTTACATTTCCTCATGTGTTACGGATCAATGTCCATCTGCTTGGCTTGACTGCAACCTCTCCCCAGGCCGGGACCCCTCTGCCTTTGTGGTCTTGTCCAGTGCTTCCCCAGCACTTAACACGGTCCCTCTGAGATGCTGGGTTGCTCAGCAAATACATGGTGAGTGGAAGGATGAACAACGAATGAGATCTGAGCTTGGGTGCTGTGTCCTTATGCATTCCCCTTTTCTGTCTTTCACTATTGAGAGGAGTTAGCAGGCATCCAGAAGTCAGGGACTATGAAACCTGCCTTGTCCATAAGGCACCTGGAGACTGATGGGATTCTGGCTACAGAAATAGTCCTCGGTAACGTCTCTCTTCAGAGCCACAGGGATTCTGGCACGGGATTCTGAGTCTTGCCTGGGAATTGTGTTCAGTTCTGCCCTGCCTTGCTGCCGAAGGTTTAGGAACTTGAAATATATTTACTTGGTGTAAACATGACCTCAGCGTGACAGGATGATCCCTGTGTTTGCCAAGCCATTAATTTTTATGTAATTACAACGACCACAACAAACTGCATTTCCCCCCACATTCTGAGTTGTTCATAAGGTCAGATCTGTGGGACTGTGCGAGACCAAAAAAAAAAAAAAACCCTTATAAACTCGAATGTAGTTGTGAGTTCTCTGTGTTTCCAGCTCCGCTCCTACACGGAGCTCCAAAGAGCTGAAAATTGAGGATTAAAAATTCATGCAGCTACTTTCTTCCAAGGAACTCCAAATGCTTCCGATGTTCTCGTCATCCTGTGAAGTCATTAGTGGTCAGATAACACCATGCCCATCTCGAAGACAGGGAAACAGAGGCCCAGAGACCTGGAGGCAACTTTGTCAGGCCCCCCCTGCTAAGGAGGCAGCAGGCTCAGGCAAAGGGCCCTCTCCCACCTATCTTTCAAGTCCACATCCTCTCCATTAGCTTGATTAGGACAATTGATTTATTCATTCTTAGTGGTTGAGAGGAGGAGAAAAAAAAAAAAAAGACCCAACATGCCATTTGTGTGATATAAATATCTCTGGAAAAAGCTAAAAAACATTGTGTCATACATATTTTCTTAATACCCCAGTCAATCACATATGCCCAAGCGCACAGTTCCATCAACCGAGGAGGGGGTGGGGGCGAATCGGGTGGAGACTCAGGGGAGGCTTCGCTCTGGAATCCTCGGTCCCAGCTAAAGATACACTGGCAGCATTTTATTTATTTATTTATTTATTTTTCTTGACCATACTCCCTTCAGAGAACTTGTCCTTGATGTCTCCGAAGCTTGTGTTGGGCCAGAACATTAGTAGGCAGGAAAGCAAGGGTGCCCGGATGCCTGCAAAACTGGTCGGTCCCCAAAGAAAAAGATGGAGGTTGTCACTTTCTCACTCAGCGTGCTCCTCGACTCACAGAAGGATTTGGATCTCAACATGGTTCCTCCCCCTCCCCCCCCATCATCAAAAGGCCTTTCATCCCCCAGTGATTCTACTGTTAGGAATTTAGCTCAAGGAAATAATTAAAGACATGTAAGATGGCTCAGTGACAGGATGTTCCTCACAACATGTAGACTATGGTGAAAGATTAAAAGTTACCCCCATAGCCAGTCATCCGTAGGCGATCAATAAGTCAAGTCTGGTGGTTCATCCCCTAAAACCCTGCTCAGATTTAAAGAGAGAAAAAAAAAAAAAAAAAAAGACTGAAGGGAGATAATCCAAGATGTTCACAGAGTTTGTCTTTGGATGTGGAATTATGGACAATTTTTGCTTTCCTGTAGTAAGGTCTTATTTTGGGGGTGACCTACTCAAAATCAACTTAAATTTGGTTGACTTTATTTTTTTATTTTTTAAAAGTTTATCTATTTTGAGAGAGGGGATGGGGAGGGACAGAGAGAAAAGGAGAGAGAGAGAAAATGCCAAGCAGGCTGTCAGTGTGGAGCCCGATGCAGGGTTGGAACTCAGGAACCATGAGATCATGACCTGAGCCAAAACTAAGAGACGCTTAACCGACTGAGTCACCCCGGTGTCCCAAATTTGGTTGGCTTTAGCAGAGACTTTACAAAATCGCTAAGATTTAGAAGTCAGAAATGGAACAGGAAAGGCACAGAAGTAAGGGCCGTGGGGCAGGTCAGGGTCAGAGAGGAAAACAGCCTGACTGAACTCGGAGATTCCAAGTGCTAAGTGCTTAGACAGATGGCAGATTTTTGCACTGTGGACAGACTATCTTCTGAAAACCAAGGAGAGGAGAGTACACTGGTTGTGACAGGCAATTGGGAGACACTATAGACTGTGGAACAAGAAAAGGCACTGGAAGTTCCAGTCAGTCCAAGCAGTGGATTCACTGGGAACGAATCTGGTGGTCTCCTAATTCTGTTGTGGAAGGGTCTGAGTTCACTGGATCTGGGGGTAAAGGCTTGGGAGAATTACAGAACTCTAAATATATGAAAGAAGTCTTGAGATTGCTTTGATTTTACAGATAGGACAGCTGCAGCCCAAAGAGTTAGACAGATTGTTCCCAGAGCCATAGAGAAAGATGGTGGACCAGTTGGGACTGGCAAGCAGGGGTCCTTATTCCTAGCTCCAGTCCTGGCCCACCTCTTGCCCAGGATCCATTTCTTTCCTTCCTTCCTTCCTTCCTTCCTTCCTTCCTTCCTTCCTTCCTTCCTTCCTTCCTTCCTTCCTTCCTTCTTTCTTTTAATTTGAGAGAGAAAGCAATGCTCAAGCAAGGGAAGGGGAAGAGGGAGAGAGAGAGAGAGAAAACCTCAAGCAAGCTCCATGTTCAGCATGGGATTCAACACAGGGCTCAATCCCACAACCTTGGGATCATGACCTGAGTTGAAATCATGAGTCAGCCACTCAACCAACTGAGCTACCTAGGTGCCCCTGGGATCCCATTTCTGAGATTTTAACCACACATCCAACCTTCTAGGAAAACTGATGACCCTGACTTACTTTTTGGAGTCCCACCTAAAACTCTTTCACTCATCTGTTCATCCAGCATCTCATAGAATGCAGACAACCCTGGTGTTATTGTGGAGGCCAAGAAGAGACGATGTTGGCATCTAGTAGGTGATCAGTAAATATTTGTGGAAGGGGGAGA